ATGTTAAATATCTTTTCCTCCAATATTTCTGAAATTAAGAACTACAAAACAAATCCTTATACTTCAATGGACAATAACTCGTCGGTTCCATGGCACTATTTAACAGCATTAAGAACAAACAGCTTCAAGAATCTAATAATAATTGTGTTTATTTTTGTAAAAGAGGAACAGTAGACAAGCTAAAAAAGATCACTCTTTGCATCCACAAAACAAAATAATTCCTTTTCTCCCATGAACATTGGTTTAATTTTCCAATATAACAAAAGCACAAGTACGTAAATTCTAAGCAAGGCAATTAATCTGGATTCTGCCATCATCACAGTCACGAGATTACTCTTTTTTTTTTTTTTTACAATGAGAAGACTCTGGAAGCACAGATCCTGCTGTGCAGAGCCATCACATTCCTTCATAAAAGCAACCGGCTAGGAATCAAAAATCTAAGGAACAGCAAATAATTATTCCGATAAAGAAATGACAAAACGCTACAGTGGTTATTGAATAACACTCATTTCAATTTCATTTGTTCATTCTTGAAATCTGTTATTTAAAAAATAAATAGAAGACATTTTATTTTTCAGAAGCCCCCACCCTTCCAGCTTCCTGATGCTTAGTCTTGCAAAATACTTGCCAGCAGCAAAAATTTGAAGTGTCTTTGAGTATCAGCGTGGAGACGAAAACGTACCACAATTCTTCAGCACTCCCTAATAACCTCCACGCCTGAGGTTAGACTGATTTCACACACACCCCTTCATCGTGGTCACTAGCATCTGTCCCTCAGCCCCTACCTGGGGTTTCATTTCACCATGGACTGGACGTGGGCGTAGGAAGAGGAGTCGGTCTCAAAGTAGCACTCCAGCTGCCCACAGATGGCCTCGAAGGTGGGCCTCCTGTCTGCTTCTGCGCTCCAGCACTGCAGCATCAGCTCGTAGAGTGGAGCTGGGCAGGTGTCTGGCTGAGGAAGTCTATACCCCTTGTCCAGCATCTGGATCACCTGGTGTCCTGGCATACCTGTAAGCCAAAAAAGGTTTGTCAGACTACTCGGGGTCTACTTAAAGACACCACAGGTCCCCATCTCTTACCAAGACAAGGCAACGGGACGCTCTCGTGTGAGACACAAATGCACGCTAAAGGCAGAACTGGCCTCAGCAACAGGCTATAGAAATCACTGGAAGATCCCAAAACAGCAGTTAAAAAACACCTCCAACACTTCCTAGTCTCCTCACCCTGACTGCAACACCTAAGAGGCATAGCAAGTAGATTCATCCAGGTGTGAGGCTTTTCCTCTGCCACTTGAGTTTGCCGAAACTTTTCTGACATGTTTTACTTAAATTGCTCCTAAATTGCTCTAGTCTCAGTGACTCCAAAATCTCCTAAGAAAATCTGTCCTGCTGCTGAATTTTCCTTACATTTAGGAAGTTTTCTGTAGCGTCAGTTCTAATTTTCCTCTGGTGTAGCTATGTGATGGCGTCTTGCCTGCTCTGTCACCACGGATCACAGAGAAGAAACCACTCCCCTGCCTTTGCTATATCTTTATATATTAAAACTATTGTCCCATTTCCTTTCAATTTTCTACTCTTTAAATCTTGAATTGTATAATCTTTGCTTCTTTTCCCTGGATCTCTGAATGGCATTTCCTCTATACTTTACCCACTGCCACCATGGATTAACATAACCTCTTCTCCCAATCAATTACTGAGGGCAACTTCCTGAAAGTAATAACAAGTAAGCAAATAGCCATGGCAAAAGGGCATTTTCTACTGTAAAGTTACAGCTGAACTATGCCTTTGCCAAGGGATAATGCTGAACATATATGCAGACAATACTGAGAATCATAGTGTTATATATCATTTATACTTGAATAGTTTATTTACATCCGTGTCTTCATATGCACACATCTATGGTTTATACAAGAAAGAGTTGAGGATTTTTGGCTTTGTTTTTTTTTATTCTCTTTTCAGAATAGTTTCACAGGAGGTGAAGGTGAGAATCAAAGAGCAAAATCAATTTCTCCTTTTACAGGAAATACCAGTTTGGGACCCTGTAAAATGTAGTTTATGGCGAATGTACCAACCCTCAGGCCTGTACAGATGCAGCATAACTTTTTTTTTGGTTTAGTTCTTCCCTTGTGTTCTCCTCACCAGCACAAAATGAATCACAGTCAATCATTTCACTGATATCTTGTGTTATTGGAGCCATGGTTCCTTGAGCTTTTCTCACAGTGCTAGGAATAATAACTGCTCTCATACCATTAAATCTACTTCTGAGGTTGGTGACATTTTATTCCTAATTCTTGTGATTCTTCCCTTTCTGAAGGCTCTCCATTCCAATAGTCAAATATGAGGTAAAGGCATAATAATACCCTCATTCATTTTTCAGACACCTTCTTCCTGAAGTGTCTGTGCAGAACTTTGCACATAATAATCTATTCTTCCATGAGATATCCTAAAAAAAAATAAATTTGAAAAAGCAGCAAGAATGGAATGGGGAATAGAAAAATTCTTCCCTTTTTCCACATTCCATGAATTGGCGTCTTTGATCTGATACTGGAGAGAAATAGCCGGTTGGCTTAGGCACCTGTGCAATGCAGGTTGACTCCAGCAAGAGGAAGCTTGCATGGCTGCCAATCATAGCCTTTGGAAAGTTTCCAGGGAGTCTGGGACAGCCAGGAGGTCTGACCCACTAAACGAACCTCATCTGAATAGCCTTCTTGCTGTATTTACGGTTTTAACCCTTTCACATGCCTGTAGTACAGGCATTCAGCTTTTTTTTTTTGAGTAATTCTCAAAGCAGGAAAACGTTAGATACCATTCTTTAGGTAAAAGCACTTACCAGCATAAGGCATCTTCCCGTAGGTGATTATTTCGAACAGAAGTATTCCAAATGACCAGACGTCTGACTTAACGCTGAATTTGTTGTAGCGGATTGCCTCCGGAGCTGTCCATTTCACTGGGAGCTTGGTTTCAGGCCGAGCTTCATATACGTTTTCATTTTCTACCTGTCATGGGTAAAACGAAGCAAGCCTGATTTCAGATCCGCTCAGCAGAGCACTTAAGCACCTGACTAAGTTAAGCATGTGCTTAATCTTATCCTCTTTTAGCTGAGCACTTGCCTTTCATGGTGTTAAAACACGCACTTACTGAAGTCTATTGTTGAATTGGGCTTCACAGTTGAGAAATGCTACCCTTCATCGGAGGCTGTTCTAAAGCATTTATCATTTCAAGAGAACATGCAGTGTTGGAGTGGCTTGTGATTAATTATGAGCTACTATTGTGAATTCTGGACCTGGCATGCAAGATTTCAAAAGTCTGTCAAGAGTGGCAGTGTAAGCATCCTGCTGACACTGGAGACCAAATGGCTTCACGTCTGGTCTTCAGTAAACAGAGAAGGCAAGAGCAAGAGCTAATGAATTTCGGAAGCTTTCTTCTGTGATTTATTGCGGTGTTGAAGGGCCATTGACTTTAATAACAATCACTTAAGCAGGTTTTAGGGACCAAAGAACAAACTCCAAGTGCTTCAACTTGACGTATTAGCTTACTAGCAATTAATGCATGTAAAGTGAAGGTGAAAGGCACGTAGAAAAGGGAAAATTGTTTACTTGCAAATTTATAGAATCATGTCCTTAAAGTTTTATAACACAGACATCTAAACTTTGTGAGCATTTATTCTCTCTTTAATTCTTAAACATAATTTAGCATGCATCGGTCACATGCAAGACTTGATCAGGTTTTTCACAAGTAAATCCAGGCAAATGTGTACAAGATTTTGTTTGTTTGATTCTTTTTAATACAGAATGTATGTTTCCCAGCTGTAATGCTCTGTAGTTTTGAAAAGATGGATTGCTAGTGTTTTGTATCTACATACTGATACAGTTGGCATCTTGACCATAATACTCATCTACAGAAACAAGAAATTTTTTCATTAGGCTAATTAATGCACACAGAAATACAGATTTAATTTCTCACACCTACTCCGTTGGGATCTTTGCATGCACCCATGCTAGTGCTTTGGCTTAAAAGACAGAATATTCCTAAGAAAGTCTGCCAAGATGACTCTATGATAGAGTATTTTAGTAAAGTTCAGTTTTAACAAGAAATGTCAACAGCTGTAAGTTATTACCCTCCCTAGAGAGGACAGAGGAGAAATATCCATTGTAAGTATTGTTCATTTAAAAATATGTATTTTTCATGTTAAAAAATGTGCACTCTAAACTTATGCATAACTAGAAGAATAAAAATTAAGCAAAAAACACTTTCAAAGTCCCTTGATGCCATTGTCAAGCCATTATTCTATACTTCAGTATGTAATAAAACCAACTCTGTTATGAGCTTCAACTTCTGCTGCTTGAATGGAAAAAAAAAAAAAAAAATGAGCAACAGAAATCTTTTTTCTCTGTTTTTCCTTCTCAGTGCAAGAACATGAATCAATAAAAACAATAATAAAACTTCAGAAATTATGGATTACATCTTGAAATCCATATAATATGGCAAATCAAGTCATTTGAACTCTGATCAAGTCATTTTCAGAGGTAGGAAATCTCATTTCTAAACCACAACTCTTTCCTAGGGTGATCTTGGTCAGCGTTACTTGGCATTCCACATCCTCAAGGGCTGGAGAAAAAAAATCAGTGCAATGGCAAAGAACTCGAAACTGCATCAGATTTAAAGCTCTGAGAGCTCACTTTATGAACTCCGCTGTTAGTCGTGGAGAGAAATAAGGTCCTTTTATGATTACTACCTGCACTCACAAGCATCACAGAGGCAGTGGGCAAGTGAACATGGAGAGAATAGCTGTCAATACATTTTTATATGCTTTCCCTTAGAGGCTCAGGAATATAATTTTGCCATCATTCCTTTGATCTCTCTCCACATGGCAGACATTAGTGTTGTGGATAAAGATTGTGCAGCAAAGGGTATTGCTTGCCAGGCTTCTTCCTTGGTGGCCAAGTGGGACACAGACATTGGGATGCCTTCTTCAGACTGACACAAAGGCATAGGCCAGCTTCTAACCTTGCATGGGATAATACAGGTAGAGGATATAAGTGAAACATTAGGGGTTCTTTTCTCCCTGGGCATGCCTTTTGCCTGAATGTAGCAATTCAGAGGCTACAGTTCATCCTTTAGTTTACCTCTTCCACCTTGTTCCCCAGAGTTAAAGTAGAGCCAATTCACCTTCTCACAACCTACCTTAAAAACTCTTGCAAGTCCAAAGTCTGCTACTTTGTAAACACTGTGTTCACCAACAAGAACATTCCTGGCTGCCAGGTCCCGATGGATATAGTTCTGGGATTCAAGGTAAGCCATCCCGGAAGCCACCTGAGCAGCCATATCTACTTGATGTGGCAGGGAGATCTGGGAGCCTGCATCTTCTGTTTAAAAAGAAGATGACAAGGATAACATAATATTTATGCTATTCAGATATAAATAACATAACAGCTGAGTGGTTCAAATAGCCAACGCAAATCGATAAAACCATCCAACACAATAAAGTAACAGTCCAATCAAATGACAGAGGTTAGTGAACGACACTACGTAAAGACATGCAGCTAATTTTACGATAACTGAGCAACAATGCCTGTCCCATCTTCTCTAAAAGAGTAGATACTAAGTGCAGCAGTTGATCTAGGCCTGGAAGGAGCTGCTGACACAGTCCAAAGAAAAAGGCATTTATCTACCATTAGTAATGGAGATGTTTGCCTTTCTGACAAGTGCATAACTCATTTCAAACTGTGAGTAAAAGCTAATGTCAGTACTCACTGGGTGTAGTCAAAGCCAACCAAAGATGGAAAAGCACAAAGCTCTCCTTGTTCCCTGTCCTCCAATGATTCTTACTAGGAAGTATACCATCTGCTGTCAAGTGTAACTCTCATTTTCACTTTCCAGTCCACTTGACTGCTTCACGCTGTTATGTCTGTTGCTACTGCTCAATAGTAGAACTCCTTGAGCTGCTTTCAAGCTGCCTGCTTCTCTTGTAGAACTTTCTGAAGTAATATGCATACCATTTCCACCACTGTAAGATCAGCAAGTCCCAGCAACAGACATCTGGCAATCAAAGAACGGCTGTTCAAACAAAGTAATAGAAGAACTTTGAGCAGAGTAACTTGCCTCCTTAAACGAAGGAAAGAGCCTTAGGCAGTGAAAAATTGCAGTCAAAAATAGTAAGAGAGGTACCTCCAAAAAAAAAAGCCATTGTGGTATAACACATTAGAATTCAAATTCAGGGTCTTTGTGGCATTTTGGGGACAACTGATCTCCTCATGATAAAGAATTTATATCCCAAGTTAGTCTAAGTAAGCCAAACCAGTGTTATATTCAAGCATCAGTCACCCAAACTCAAACGCTGCAGCACTGAAGCATGAGTGCCTACCTCTGTAGCCTCTAATACTCAAAGCAGTTTCACCTTTCTGTTTCAGAACCTTAACAATATCAAAAAGCTGAGTATTTTTTGCTACAGTTATGGGCATTTTTCCTTTCTCACTGAGGATGATGACTTTTCCTTTCTGCCTCTGCGTCAAAGAAATAAAACATTTGTAACTGGCAGTTTTCTGTTGCTTATTTTGAATTGATTCATAATGTTAGTGTCTTAGCATTGTTTTGCATAGCCTGCTCCAGTTCTGGTGTTTTATCTGACCTCTCCTTGTAAATACCCATTATGAAGAGTGTGAAATTCCATTGTTTACCAATCTATTCTGCAATCTCTAGGCCTTGAATTTCCTGTTTATCTGGATATTCTGAGATGAATAGGTAAAATAAATGAATTTTAAATTATTAAATTCGCCCTTTTTGCATATTGTCCTACTTCCCTTTTGCGGTTAAACTTATTGTCACCATAATCCAGCAGTGAGATTATTTAGTTCTATTGTTGACTCAGAAAGTCTTTTCCTCTCCCTCACATACATTTAATAGCTGCCTTGACCTTTAAAAGAGAGAGGGAGAAAAGTCAGGCTATGTGAAAATCTATGGCTTAACCATCAAGAAAATCCATCATCAGGCCAGAGAATAATATAACACTCTGAAGTTTTGCAGTTTTGATAACTGGCAGACATCAACATTTATTATTCAGCTTGCTGGACAAAGATATAAATCTGCAAATGATGCTTATGCTGTATTTAGTCATAAGATAACTAAATACGTACAAGTAACTAGCACAAGTACCTGGGCTTTGGAAACTAGTTTATGTGACTCAATTTAAAATCCCTCTCTCTGTATTCCCTTTCACACTGCCCCTTCATCTGTACTGCCTGGTGAAAGCAGACAAGGACGTAGGCAGACTTGAGCACAGGTTTGTCATTCCTCTGTCGATGCTCCAGGCTGGCCTGAAACAAGCTTGCTCCAAGAGGCAGAACACAGTAATGTCACAGCAAAAAAGGATGACTCTTAAGCCTTGTGTTTAATGAGCTGCTTCAGTGCAGAACTGGAGTTAGAGCTGCTAAACTATCCCTGTTTTATTCCCTACCCGGGTGCATCATGTTAATGGACAAGGACAAGATCCAGCTCTACTGGTGGAATTGCAGCTGAAAGACTATTTCTTCCCTTGGGGCCTGTTTGGGATCCCAGACCAGCTGATCAACTGCCTTTAGCGTGTGGGTTGAAGGAGGGGAAGAGGCTACTGTTGCCCTGGCTGCTGCAGTATTTCTTGGAGAGTTCCTCTCTGTGAGCTGGTTCTGTGCTGCTGCTGATCTGAAGCTAAAGAAGGGAAAGATGTAAGGAGGAGTCTCAGCTATTCAGGAGCTGCAAACTGTGCACAAAGATAAAGGATGAAAGTACAGGTCTATTTGGGATCTGAAGTGCAAAACATGTATGGTTGTCTCATAAAGGTTTCTGACTATACCTCCCAAATCCCCAGTTGGGTCAGCCAAAGCACACGAATTCAAGCACAGTACTGCATTAGTACAACTACGAAGGTTGCCAGGCCAGAGCTAGCTCCCATCTGGCTGGTTCAGAGCAGGCTAGAAGAGTTTAAAGCTGTATTCATATGGGTATGCATGTGCTTTAGTTCGTTTTAAAGCATTTTAAAACAGAAAAAAATACAACTAAAAACGGAAGTTAATATAACTTCCACACTCAAAAGCAGGCACTACTGGTGAATTTATAAAACCTTCCCATGGTTTATACTTTATCCTAAAGAAAACATAGTGTCTCCATGTCCTTTTTTACTAATAGTTTTTGACAAAACTATCATCCTTATATGAAAAATTTGTTAGAGAAAATATTAAAGAAAGCTTAGGGTCTGCACCTTGTTGTAAGCAATCAATCATGATATCTCATTTAGGAAAGACAGGAAAATAGCCTCATTGACAGACACCTGTCAATAAATAAATAAATAAGCAGCACTTTCCGCAGCTGAGAGCATTGCCTCCATAATAATTCACCGAACTTCAAGACTGCATCCCCCCTAGGTCTATCAGAATTGATAAAAACACTCATACATTTATGACGATTTCATTCACATCCAATAACAAAGAAAAGTTTTCAGTTGCATCTTTCTCATATCTGTGGCAGCTCAATAACTCTGCAGAGCAGTGTTCATCAAGAGGTATCCCAAAGTACATTCACAGGGTGCACAGGGAATTCACATGCCCATCATTATTAAGTAGCTGTTGCTATTGTGGAATGCGATAGTCACTATGCGTGAAATAGAATGGATTTTTAAAGCTAGGAAAATATACCATGTATTTCTAGGAGGGGAAATTTAACCAAAGAATAATCTCTGGACTTTCCCTCTGTTCCAGTAGAGACAGCAGCCTTTTGGAAATGTTTTCCTGGTTCCTGAAGTGATTGAGCCTCAAGAAGAATGCTTATTAGGAGCTGTGCACTGGCTGCCAGCCAGTACAGATCACTTCCAGTCACAAAGCTGTGCAAGCTTCAAATCTGTTTCCTTATTACTCTCACTGATGACAATGACTTTTCTCTGACCAGCACCTATCAAGGCACCTGGATCTCTGCCTCCACCTCTTAGCTCTGTTTATCCCGCTGCACATAGGCCATCAGACAAGGAGAGATACCGCTGGGCTGGGTTTCAACCAGCTATTTTTATGGTTATCTTGACAGCTGCCTGGAAACTAACTGACCTTCCACAGCCTCTCTGATGCGGGGCTACGGGAATGAGCTCTCAGGCAAAGATCAGGCTGCACACATGCACTGCCTACAGCAAGGGCAGCTACTGTGCACGTGCCGGCAACTGATCTGCACACAGGCTGCAGCGCTGGTATGTCCTGGACACATTGTACTCTGTGCACAAACAGGCCAATTTTCACCTCTGTGATATCTGTGACTCATCGTGGCTTTCTCAGAGCTATTTCTCCCATGCAATAATTTTCTTCATGCACAGCAATCATTTCCTGATGTGCCAGGCTCTTTCAATCAGATAAGCAGCAATCTGCACACAACGGCACCAGAGATGAGAATTTAAAGGAAATTTGTGCCTCACTACCTCTGGTAGCTAAATGCCTACAAAACTTTAGATGATCAGGCCCAAGCTCCTTGCAGCCCCTCTCTGCACAGTTCCTGGTGGGGCTGTCCCTCTGTCAGAGATTTCTTTAGCTGTAATTGTTCCCAGACTGAGCCTCACTTGAAAAATGACTCCACAGAGAAGATGGGAGAACATATGTGTCATGGTAAATACTGTCTGTGGTATTTCACAGGGCTTTGCCTTACAGGCTAGAGACAGAGAAGAAATTTAGCAAGTCAATCTCAGCAAACATTTTATCTTCAAGAGATCATTACAGCTTTAGAGACATTTAGCATCTCAGAGACATCTGCTAATCTGAAAATGGATAACAAACACTAGAATCAAACATTTCTCAATAGTAGAGGTGAACTTAAAGTGTAATCATTATGTTAGTCTGTTCCAGGTTGTACAACTTTATTTTTAATTATTATTTGCCTTCAAAAGAGCGCTTTGAAGTGCTGCTGAGATAAAACCTCTGATGTGATAGGCAAGGGACAAATTCGCAGTGAAATGCTACCTCTGCCTAGTAATAGATTTCAAAGCTGCTAAGTGCGTTTTGTGGAAATGTCTCTATTTCATGTTACATATGATGACCTAACCTTCTGTATGCTTATATTTTTATCCTGCTGGTGTGTTCCTCAGGGGTCAGTACTGGGGCCAGTGATATTTAACATCTTTGTCGGCGACATGGACAGTGGGATCAAGTGCACCCTCAGCAAGTTTGCTGACGACACCAAGTTGTGTGGTGTTGTGGACACGCTGGAAGGAAGGGATGCCATCCAAAGGCACCTTGAGAGGCTGGAGAGGTGGGCCCGTGAGAACCTCATGAAGTTCAACAAGGCCAAGTGCAAGGTCCTGAACATAGGTCGGGGCAATCCCAAGCACAAGTACAGGCTGGGCAGAGAATGGACTGAGAGCAGCACTGAGGAAAAGGACTTGGGAGTGCTGGTGGATGAGAAGCTCAACATGAGCCGGCAATGTGCGCTGGCAGCCCAGAAAGCCAACCGTGTACTGGGCTGCATCAAAAGGAGCATGGCCAGCAGGTCGAGGGAGGTGATTCTGCCCTTCTACTCTGCTCTTGTGAGACCCCGCCTAGAATACTGTGTTCAGCTCTGGAGTCTCCAACATAAGAAGGACATGGAGCTGCTGGAGTGAGTCCAAAGGAGGGCCACGAAGATGACCCGAGGGCTGGAGCATCACTCTTATAAAGACAGGCTGAGAGAGTTGGGGCTGTTCAGCCTGGAGAAGAGAAGGCTCTGGGGTGATCTTCTAGCAGCCTTCCAGTACCTAAAGGGGGCCTACAGGAAAGCTGGAAAGGGACTTTTTACAAGGGTATATAGTGAAAAGACAAAGGGCAATGGATTTAAACTGAAAGAGGGCATATTTAGATTAGATCGAAGGAAGAAATTCTTCACTCTGAGGATGGTGAGACACTGGAACAGGTTGCCGAGAGGAGCTGTGGTTGCCCCATCCCTGGAAGTGTTCAAGGCCAGGTTGGATGAGGCTTTGGGCAACCTAGTACAGTGGAGGGTGTCCCTGACCATGGCAGGGGGATTGGAACTAGATGATCTTTGAGGTCCCTTCCAACCCTAACCATTCTATGATTCTATGATTCTATGTTCCCATCTACTCATAGAACTGGGTGGAAATTGTGGGTCATTATAAGGCAAGAATCAAGTTGTGAATGTGGTTCTTCCCTACTTCTCAAATACTCTGTCATGTGAAAAAATTCATATATCTCTTTCTTTCCTCTTTTCTTATTCCTCACACGTGACAAATCATATAGCTTTTATATTAAACCAGTGTATTTTACTTCCATCTTTTATGTTAGTGTATTTACTAAACTGACAGCTGTGGCACTCCTTGAAACGCATTTATATCATTTGCTTACTTTGAAGGTATTCTAGAAGACTTCCATATCTCATCAGCTCGGTAATAATATAAATTGGGTCCTCCAAAGTACAAACAGCATAAAGCTGTATAAGCTTTGGATGTCTTAAGTTCTTCATTATTTGTGCCTCCCTCAGAAAGTCTTTTGGATCCATTGAACCTGAAACAATAGCACATAACAAAACATAAGCTGAAGTTATTAAAGGCCTTCCTACCAGCATGGCAGTCTTAAGGGAATAACTGAGATTGTTTTCTGTCTTTCAAAGAACATTAGCATCTCAAATTTTCAGAGTTCACAGAGAAAACAGACAGTGCAGCTGAAATAAACAGTTAATGAGTGAAACATGCCAGTTACGCAGAGACAGAGAACATATGTGTTCCAGCCACCAGAAATATAAAGGCTAAAATTAACCTCCCCCAGGCAGATAAAAAATTAAGCTAGAATGTTAACTGATATAATTTAAGCAAACAATTATGTTACAACTGGTTAACAAAACGGCGAGAAACTGAAGCAAGAGTGCCTAGGTAATGAATATAAAATTTCTGCCAGAAAAATAGTGCTGCAGTAAGAACTTGTTGCACTGTTTTTTCTCCTTCAGCAATCAAAACCTGAAAGCATTGAAATCACTTTAGCATATAAGGAGTGGATGAGTGCATTTTATATACATAAATACAAATAACTATTTATAATGTTCACATAATATACAAATATATATACACAAACATTTTCATAGTGATCTGGAACAACGTTATTAGAAATGCCAATTTATTCACAGATGTAAAAGTAATTTTACACTCTCTTAGATGCAGGAGTATCTTAACAGCTAACGATCCCAACTTTTTGAGTGTTAAGATCATAATATCTCTGGTTCTGTTCATGTGCATAGTGAGTCAATGCATAAACTATGTCAAAGAAGCAATACAGAAATGGTGCAGGGAGCTAAAGTCAGTGGCAAATTTAGGATTAGAGGTCATACGTCCTGAATAGGGGACTGATTAGAAAAAAGTATCCACAAACAAGGAAGGAAAGCTTTCTCTATGGATGATCCAGTAGTGATCAGATATTCTTAGATGTTTGAGGAAGATGGTAAATAGCATCTACTTCACAAAACTTGTTAAAAACAAATGTGAAATTATCCAACTACACAAATCTTTCCTTCCTCCTAAATCAAAATAGTTTCATTAAGAAAAGATTGCAGTAAAGATTTGGGGAAAAAAATATCTATCCAAGTCTAATCTGCTCTATGCCATGTTTAAAAACAAATTCTTTTCTCAGTAAGTAGACTGAGTCATTTGAGAACCCAATGCTGCAAGAGTAAGAGTCTTTATTTTATAGGTTTTTAACATAAGTTAACCAACAAGGTTCATTTGGGAGTTTGGCTCTGTTCCAAATATGGATGTTTCAATGAAGTGAAGTGCTGGGAGAATGCTAAATGGCTCAGCAATAAAACTCCACCAGAAAATCTGTACTACAGAAGGAACTGGCAAATCAGCCTAGGCCACCTTCACTCAACACCTGCCCTGAATGCTGCCTCCTGAAAAGTGCTTCAACTTGTTTCCCAAAACACAACAATGATGTATATCCATGCAAGAGGAATGACTCAGAAATGCTTCTGACACGGACTTTATGAAAAAACAGCCACTTGACATTGCAACTTGTGAGAGCAAAGATTATTGGAAGGGCTAGGCGCTCCTCTCCCCACTGTCCTCATACTTCCCTTGGCAATCCCACAGGGTCCAATTTGACAATATTTTATAGGATGTCATTAGGAGCAATAGTGAAAGGCAATGGATTCCCATGCCATCAATAAATGGATAGCAGCCAATAATACATCTCCTCAACAGGTACAGGCTATACCCATTTCCTTTTGTCACTGTCAGAGGAGAGTGAGGGCCCGCATGAAAAATAAATGACTTATACTTGGTCTAGATAAAGCAGAGATTATGACAGTCAGGTGGAAAAAAACAAATACCTGTAATGCTAACACGATGTCCTTTTCCTTTTTAGAGCAGCATAATCTTTACAGCTTTATTTGAACTTTCCACCAATCCCAGCCTTTTTTTTTTTTTTTTTTTTAAAAAAAAAGCCTAGAGTTATCTTTAAAGGGTTTGAACTCACTTTGATACTTATTTAATATCGTGGTTCTTTTGGTTACTCTTTTCAAGAAATACACATTTGTTGTGGAATTCATCCTGAAGTCTATAGAGAAGCTGCATGGTATGAGGTATTCTGCCTCCAAAGGTAAATGCATAAGCACAGCTAGTGATTGAGCATCGGTGCCAAAATTTGACAAGTTGATCTTAAAAAGGATAAAGTATTTGTTAACTTGGGGTCTACCAAATCACTTTCCCTCTATGGATCATTATACAGGATTTCTTCAAACCATAGAAAACGACAGTCTGATTTGTTCCTATCATCAAAGTTTCCCTGTAAGGAATCTGTCGGTTCAATCATGCTGTAAACTGTTCTAACAAACTGAAACCAAGCAACATGTTTTTCACATATGACAACTTCCAATAAATAGATCAGGAGGAAAGTATTCCATTACCTGAACAGCAGTAAATAATTCTTTATGCTGTAAAAGTAATTAATAATAATAACAACAATAACAAACCAGTGACAAAGATCAGTATTGCCTGCATGTTTTAAAGAGCATATGTAACCTTCAGTTTTACTTAGTTTACATCTTTAAACAGCACAAATAGCAGATAGTGACCAAAACCCCAAAAGCCCTGTAGCTCTTATATTGTAGTTAATAAGTGATTGGATTCTAACTAAAAATGTTTAAAAGTGGCTTTATCAGTGTTTTGTCTAAGATTAGGCTTTAGCAACTAGATAAGCCAAGTAAAAACTACTTGTAAAAACAATCAGATTCAATTTTACAAATTAGTTACATAAAGCCTGTCACAATAGTGGCAAAGAAGTTACAACACATTTCTTTGAGAAAGTTTATATAAATGAAATATGTAAAATATATGCTACATGGAGTTTCAAATAACTGGGTTTTTTTAGCTTGTACTTGAATTACATGCATTTTTAATGAACTATAAGTTTTCAGCTGTAAGTGGTAAACACACTATGGAGAGCAGATTACTCTAAGGAGAAACCACTTGATCAAAAACCAATTGGTTAACAGAAGCCTTTACTGAAACAAGTATCCATTGTGTAAGACACCAGTTTGGCAGTAGATTGATCGGTACCTGTAGAAAATATGGGTTTGATAATTCATTTTTTGAATGAAAAATATTTTTGTAAATGTCAAAGTCCTTCTTAAGAACAAAATGTTGAAATATGTTTCTTTGATGTGTTCTATGATATGCTGCTTTGCCAGAAATCACCTCTTATTTAAGCCTACTTAAAGCAGGCATATCAGTTTTGATTACTATCTTTCTGAAAATACTTTGCTCTACAATTGAGGAAGCTTCACATTATAAAATAAACAATGATAATTTGGAAATGAGTTAGAGAGGAAAGCCAGGGTTTTTCATGTAGTTTCCACTGGCCTAAATGTAAATGGTCCTTAAATATTTGATAAGCCACTCCAGGGAACCTTGTTTGCAACTTTCAATAAACCTTCCCAAATGACTTCAAAGTAACCTTGTACTTCACAGCAATACTGTCTTCTGAATAAGATTATACAAAATGAACTTATGTACAGATTACATTGAGCATACATTGTGATCTTCTGAAAAAGTTGATGTTTAATAAAGAAACAACACTAAAAAGTACAAGTTCTTGGTAACACAAGAAGTTGAGTGTAAACTATTCACATTAACAGGAGAATGGGATAGGTATCTGACAATCCTCAAGCACCTTTCTCACCATACAGAAGTGCAGAAGTGAAGTTACAAGTTAGTGTAAGATTATGTACTGAACTAAATGGAATAAAATAATTTCTTTGTTCAGGGAAACTGGGAGACTTTCCTGAGTGCAAAGCTTTTTACACTGCATATGCACTGAAGAGTAGATATATTGAAGAACTCAAAACATTATTAAAACCTCTGCTGACACTACCAACTCAGACACTATTTTGAGAAAGCCTCCTTAAAAAAAAAAAAAAAAAATCATGCTTGAGCAGCTTCTATGCAAAGAGAGAAGCTTGGGAGATGTTTTGCAATATGATAATGACAAATGCACCTGTCAACTTGAGAAGACATAAGGAACTTTCTCAAATACAATTAGTTGGTGATGATAGATGTCTGCTTTATGCGCTAACAATTGGAGAAGCAAGCTAACCCAGACAACAGGTTCTAGAGAATCCATCACACTCAGCTTAGGACAAAGTGCAAATCCCTGCTGCAATGGTTTCTGCTTAAATAGAAAAAACAATGTCTCAGTAAGGAAATAAAAACAGAAATGTAAAATGACGTGTTCAGGGACCTACAGAAAGACAGTGCAAGTGCTCTGCAGAGTCAAGAACAGAAATAGCAATCGCTGGCTTCTAGACTATTTTCTTATCTGCTGATCCTTACACCTCTTGTTGATTGTGGATCAACAACTCAAAAGTCAGAGATGCTCCTTAAGGTAAAGATCTTCTTGTGTTTTGATTTTTCATTCACACATCCATCACTATGTTTTTGGCTGGTAAAATGTCACAGATGTCTCAAAGCAGAGTCAAACACCAGTGGACAAATCAGAGAATTATCTGAATGAAGATATCATGTTAATACTGCTTTTTGTTTATAGTCACAGTGATCAACAGATTGTTTCAAAAAGATCTATACACCTATGCCTGCAAGTCTAGGAGCCATGTATTTTAATCCCTGTGACCTGGAAATACTAATGAGCATCCAACTTTTAAACCCAGGTGGAGCATCTCCAATGCAGTGCTGAAACATTTAAGCAACTCACTGTTAGAAGCCCAAAGAAGGCTGACATTGGTTTGTGTGATGCAGTTCCTCAACACAGGATGAATGGTTCATGATTGTGCACCTCTATATTCCTTGTGGGGAATTTGATCCTTATAGTGCAATGGACACAGTTACAAGCCCACACTGCCCAATTTTTTCATCCGACCCCTACAGTAAATGTGTACTCAGTCACACCGCTGTAAAGTTAGGAATTTATGTTTCCTTTGATATTAGGGTTACTGTATAAGATAAGGGGTTTTATAGACCTCTAAAAATGCAATCATGGGATTCTCCTCTGAAGAAGTATTG